TCTCGCTTTCTGTCTCTATGTCTCTCTCTGTCTGTCTGGCGAGCGCACGCACCCTACAGTGAAAATCTCTCAAAAAAAAAAAAATCTGACAAAACTCTAAAAGGAGAAGAATAGAAGGGTCTAAAAAGTAGAGTATTCTAATATATCCAAGCATGTATATTTAATTTCCATCCTATATACATTTAAAAATTTTTAAAAATATTGTTTTTAAGGGACCAGCAGTTAGTGTAATGGCTATGTTGCTGGAATCCTATGTAGTTGATCGCGGTTTGTGTCCCGGACCCGGTGGCTTAAAAAATTCACGCCAGGCGCATGTGCGTGTGTGCCCAAGATCTCAAGAAGAGAATGGAGGAGAAGGGATTGCAGTGTGGCCATCCCCTCTGGGGGGTGATTTCTTGCTTTCTGTCTCTGTCTGTCTGGTGAGCATACGTGCCCTATTGCAAAAAAAAACAAAAACCAAAAACCAAAAACCAAAAACCAAAACAAAACAAAAAACCTCATCAAAACAAAACAAAACAAAACATATCGTTTTTAAGAGAATGAAAAGAAAATGGGGCCAGCAGATGGCATACTGGTTATGTTGCTGGACTTCCACATGGCCAACTGTGATTCAAGTACAAGACCTGGTGGCTTGAAAAATCACACAGGTTGCATGTGCACATGTGCCCAAGATCCCAAGAGGAGAATGAAGAAGAGATTGCGGGATGGCTATCCCTCCCCCTGAGGGGGGTGATTTCTTACTTTCCCGCTCACTGTGTCTGTCTCTCACCAGCGAGTGCACACACCCTAAGGCAAAAACCTCTTAAAAAAAAAATCAAGTATGACAAGAAAATAATCTTAAGTTTTTTTTAAAAAATTTTAAAAAGAATAATTTATTTAATTAATCCCATTTATTATTATTGTTGTTTAACTTGACCAGAAAGAGAGAGAGAAAGGGAAAGCAAGAAAGCTAGCCACCAGGTCTAGGATTCAAACCACGGTCAGCCATGTGGGAGTCCAGTGCGTCAACCACCATGCCACCTTCCAGCAAAAATAATCTCAGTTTTACCTAAAGTCAACTGTTTTAGGACATGAGACTATAAGAAAAATTAGAGAGAGTACAAAGAACAAAGATACAAAACTTTTAATTTAGCATTCTTTCTACAAACTATATCAATAGTAAAGTTCTCAAGATTTTCCAGTGCTTCTCTGGCTTTATGTTGTCAACTTACGAACTGTATGAAGTGAAATAGTAATTATTATATAGTACTCAAAGTTGCGAAGATCAGTACCAGGCACACAGTGAACTCCCAACACCACAAATCACCTAAACCGGACAAACTAAAAGGAAAAGTAAAGAGACATGGTGACTAATACTTACACAAGGCAGCTGAGGTCTGCCAGATCATCGATGAAATCAAACAACTGACTGATATCGTATGTGATGGAGGGACTGTTGGGATTCATTCTCTTCAGATGTTCTTCATACATTTTACAAACACCTGAGAAGGAGAGAAAATCCTAAATCTTAGAATTCTGGATATGAGTAGTGTTATGTTAATATCTTATTAATTTAACTATTTGAAAAGTGGTGGGAACAACAGAGAGATGGGTAATTAATTTTACACAGGCTGGCCATACCACAATCCACCTGCCTCAGCCTCCCCGCACTACCTAGGATTATAGAGACACACCACTGCACCAAGCCTGCTTTTAAAAAATCTGTTCTTTTCACTGCTGAATTCCCAGTACATAGAGTATTATCTGGCATATGGCCAACACCAATAAATACATGTGAATGAATATATATGGGACTTTCTGTGTAACATACAGATACCTCCGAGTGTATGTGTCGGACTGTAAGCAGATCAACTACAGACATTACAAACACAGCATTAACACCTGCAGCTCTCCCACGCGGTTCCAGCCTCATGCAGCAGTACCCTACTACCTGCACCACTGCCACTGAGCAATTATCATACTTATTTTATTTACTTTTTTTTTTTGAGAGGTTTTTGCCATAGGGCGCATGCGCTTGCCAGAAAGACAAGAAACAGAGACAGAAAGCAAGAAATCACCCCCAGGGGGGGATGACCACGCTGCAATCCGTTCTCCTCCATTCTCCTCTTGGGATCCTGGGCACACACGCACACGCGCCCGGCGTGAGTTTAAGTCTGGGCCCGGGACTCGAACCCTGGTTAACTACCTGGGAGTCCAGTGACATAGCCATTATGCTAACTGCTGGTCCCCACACTTATTTTATAATGATGGGCTGAGAAAGGATAGAAGGCTGTTCATTTTTGTTTTATCCATGGCTTATAGCAATTTGTTTAATCTTACAAATTAGCCAGAATGTTGGTAACTTACTCTATACTTGACTTATTAGGTTTTACAATAAACTTTATTCTAAAGTCACAGAGTTAAAAAAATTAGCACATATAAAAAGCATCTAAGTACTCAAAGGCAAGTAATAAATAAAATGAGCAAAAATTACAAATAGCAAGCCCACATTAGCACAATGATCTAAAGAAATCTTCTATTTAATTTTCATTCAGTGAAACAGCTCTCATTTCCACAAAAGGGGAACATACATTTTCAGTGTATTTCTACTCTCAACTCCTTTTAAGGCTGCCATTATGAATGAACAGGTGACATATTTGGGAAAATATGTCCCATACTGCACACAGACTGTTTGTATGCCTCTAAATGAACTCCATACGCCTGTCTTCCTATGTTTACCTGTCTCTTGAAATAAATAAAACTTAATGTAAGAATAAGGAGTACCAAACCACAGAACTGTTAGGCAACTATCTTAGATTTCTTAATCGCTTCTGAGACACTACATTTTGATCACAGAGTGTGGCTCAACATTTTAAAGTTTATTTTTCACAAGAAAGAGACAGTGGCAGAGACATGTCATAGACACATACAAGCACCCTCGACAGGGTCTCGCACAACAATCTCCTCTAGTCTTTACCAGCCAGCCAAGATCACAGGCATGCGCACATGCCCAGCATGCAGTCTGACTAGGAACTGAATCTCATCTCCTATCTGGTCTCCAGCACCACAGAGCACTGTGCTACCACTGCCAATACCAGGGCTGGGCCCGCCAATGAGTTACTGAATGGCAAGATCAAAAGGAGCATGGGGAAACCCCACAAAATGCATAGCTGAGAGCTAAACAATGACTCTCTAACACCTGTCAAAGGGATTTTTTAAGATTCAATCAACTATTTGGATTCACAAGGACATAACAGAGAGAGTGAAAAGACACCATGCTCAGAAAAATCTCTATAAAACACCTATCCGATAAATAGTATCCAAAATACACAAAGAACTCTTAAAACTCAGCAATAACACCTCAATTAAAATGGGTCAGGGAATCAGCTACAGTAGTAAACCCTGCTAAGACACTGCTGCCCAGATGCTGAGATCACACGGGACAAAGTTCAGTTTCTAGCCCAACCTAACAAAATAGGCCAGGTGTGGTAGCACATGCCTGTGGCCCTAGCGAGCTAGGACAGGAGTACCCTGACACAGCCATCATCTGCCAAAAAATGTGTGTTGTCCTGCCTGCCCCCCCCATCTTGAAGCCCTGTCAACAAATGCTCTGCTAACGTATCCCAACTTCATTCTCAAATAAATAACAGACTAAAACATCTTTTTTAAAAAAAGGGAGGAAATCTGAACAAACACCTCACCAAAGATGTAGAGGTGGCAAATAAGCTCAACATCTTCTCATATGCTTGGGGAGAGGGAATAAACAAGGGACCCCTGTGTACTTGCTGTTTAATTTTTTCTACATCTAAAACTTTTTTTTTGTAAAAAGCAAGCATAGGGGCCGGCACGTGGATTCTCACAGGGCGCTGGATTCCCATATGGCCAACCACGGTTCGAGTCTCAGACCTGATGGCTTGCTTTCTCACTTTCCCTCTCTCACTCTCTCTCTGTATTTCTGGTCAAGTTAAAAAGGCAAGCATATGGGAACTGGACTCATGGCTGACTGTGGATAGAGTCCCAGACCTGGTGGCTTGCTTTCTCACTCCCCTACCTCCCAATCTGTCCCTGTCTAGTCAAATTAAAATAAAGTTAAATAAAATAACTCTTAAAAAGAAAAATAAAAACTATAGGGGCCAGCAGGTGGCATTCTGTTTGAGGTCCTGGACTCTCATATGGACCATTGAATTTTGAGTACTGGACCTGGAAGCTTGAAAAATCACACTGGGCATGTGTGCCCCAAATCCCAGAAGAATAGAGAAGGGACTGCAGCATGGATATCCTCCCTGGGGTGGGGTGGGGGGCACTTTCTCACTCTCTCCACCACCTGTGGCAAAAACTAAGAAATTAGAGAACTTGATGACTGCCTGGAAGGAATAGTGTCAGTTTTAGAAGTATCTCTGCGATTATTATAAGTAGCTCTTTTCACAAGTCTATCAGTTGTTGGTTTTATAGTTAACTTTGAGTAAATAACAGATTCAGGGACATCCCAGCAGCAAAACAAAGTGACTTTAACATCTTTATACAAAGATGAAGAACAGATCATTTGCTAGAAAGGACATAGGGTGTGCACACCTGGTTTACTTGATGTAATAAGTAAATTAAAACTGAACTCAATTCAGAAAGATCCAATCTTTTTCTTTTTTTTTTAAATCTCATCTCATCTACTGAGTTTACAAAGTAAAGAAACATTAAGGGGGAAAAAAGAAACATTAAAGGCTAACAGTTCTTTTCAGGGGTGGGATCAGCTTATGAAATACATAATCAATTATACTTATCTGGTTCCATTTACCTTAATTCTCTGACCAAATTTTTCTTTTTTTCTTAAATTATTTTAAATTTACCTATTTATTTATTTTAATTTGACCAGAGAGGGATAAAGAAACAGAGAGAGAGAAAGCAAGCCGCTAGGACTGAGACTCAAACAGTGGTCAGTTATGTGGGAGTCCAGTGACTTTAACCACCACGCCACCTGCCAGCCCTGCAAATTTCTATTTTTTAACATTCTGATGGGCTGTAACCAAACTTCAACAGTTTTCAATGTTTATTTACTGGGACCAGCAGTTAGCATAATGGCTATCTCACTGGACTCCCACGTAGTCGACTGCAGTTCGAGTCCCGGACCCGGTGGCTTAAACTCATGCCGGGTGCCTGTGTGTGCATGCCCAAGATCCCGAGAGGAGAATGGAAGAGAAGGGATTGCAGCGTGGCCACCCCCCTGGGGGGTGATTTCTTGCTTTCTATTTCTGTCTCTCTCTGTCTGTCTGGTGAGTGTACGCGCCCTATAGCAAAAACCTCTCAAAAAAAAAAAGAAAAAAAAGAAAAGAAAAAAAAAGTTTATTTACTAAGCAAACTGCTGGGGTCAGAAGGCATACCCCGAACTTTATGGTGCTGAAGTTTAACCAGAATATGTAAGGGATACCTGTAAAATATTTATGTAACAAAGTAACAACAAGCAGTATTAGAAAGTAATTATAAATATATGAACTTGATTAAAAAAATAACAACAGGGACCAGCAGGTGGCCTGTTGGTTAAGGCACTTGACACTCCCAAATGGCCAATCATAGTTAGAGTCCCAAACATGGGGGCTTGCTTTCTCTCTTTCTCTCTGTGTATCTCTCTCTTGTCAAATTAAAATGAAATGAATGAATGAATAAAATTAAATAAATAATTCTTTAAAAAATATGGCACGAAAAGATATCATAATTAATATTTGAAATAGCCACCAAATATGTTCTATCTGATATATGAGACAAAATTTTAATAATGAATGTGAGGAAAAAAATAACTCATTCAAAGGTTTGTATCCCATATTAGTGTTACACTCACCTTCCATGCATTCATTCACAGATTCATAGTCGGCGTAAGTTCTGCCTTCTGGCCTCTTGGTGGGCTGTACCAGCAAAATGGTGTGAGACTGCAGGGGAACAAAAGTGATCTCAATATAGAGCTTTAATTTATATGTGAGAGTTACAGAGTAGGATATACAATCCCTGTTCATGAAACAATAAATGTTAGCTATTGAAACATAATTGATGAGAATATTCTTTCTACAATATTTATGCCTTTGTCCAAGAAACGTGCTACAAGAAGATGATTCCTAACTCCTCTGTAAGGTCTCAGTCTCTCCTCATCCATAATGACTGCTTTCCCAAACTCCTATTGCACTTTCAGCCTGCAAGTACTTGACATAAGCTATTCTACATTGCTTCTTTTTTTCGGGGGTCGGGTGGGGTACCTCCCTATCTCCATTGGATTATAAATTGCTTAAATTTTCTGACTTCACTGTTTACTTTCTATCTCTAGCCTCATGAAATCACAAATAAAAACTCAAAATAATGGGAGCTGACAGGTGGTATGGTGGTTAAGGTGCTGAACTCCCATATAGCTAACTGCAGTTCAAGTCCTAGACTGGGCAGCTTTAAAATCACGCTGGGCATGAGTGCTAAAAATCCCGAGAGTAGGATGAAGGAGAAGGGACTGCGACCCCTCTTGGGGGAGTGCTTTCTCACTTTCCTTCTGTTTCTCTCCAACAAGCACACGTGCCCTAGGGCAAAAATCTAAAGAACAGAAAACCAAAATCTCATATGGACTGATGAGAGAGAAAAAGGGAAACGCTATAACCATTGCAAGCACTGTATCAACCCACGTTTCTTCCAACCACAGCACAAAACATTTTTTCCAGGAGTTAAGACTCTAGCACCATGGTACAAGAGAAACTGGCAATATAAAATTAATGTATATATATAAATATAGTTAATATAGTTAGTCACATATAGTTAATAGCACCCTAAAAAAAACCATTGAACATTCATCTAATAATAACTTTCCTTAAGGGGCTAATAGTGCCAAAACCACCTATTTTGAAACACTAGAATCACACAAAGTGGTTAGAAGTTCACTCTATTAAGAAATGTGAACAAGTCTGAAGAACTTATATTTCCCATCTCATGCTCACTGGGGGGACTATTTTTGTCAACAGATCAATTTCTGGGTTTCTAACCTCTACTACTACGTTTTGGGCTAGATGACTATTTTTTTTTTTTGAGAGAGATTTTCGCTATAGGGCACGTGCGCTCGCCAGACAGAGAGAGACAGAGACAGAGACGGAAAGCGAGAAATCACCCCCCCCAGGGGGGATGGTCACGCCGCAATCCCTTCTCCTCCATTCTCCTCTCGGGATCTTGGGCACGCGCACACACACGTGCCCAGCTTGAGTTTTAAGCCACCGGGTCCGGGACGCGAACCACGGTCGACTACGTGGGAGTCCAGTGACATAGCCATTACGCTAACTGCTGGTTCCCTAGATGACTGATTTTTATAGGGGCTGTCTGTGCATCGCTAGGTGTCTGGCAGCATTCTTGGCCTATACCCATCAGATGTCACTAACATCTCACAATTGTGACAACCAAAATATGTCTCCTGACACTCCCAAATGTCCTTTGGGTGGCTAAAAGCTTGCCCAGTTGAGAATTATTGGTTTATTAAAATTATGTTCCCATTTTGAGTTTTTACCATGTGAGTAAGGTAGATTAAATATAAGTATTATGCATTTTCACTATAAACCTAACCCCAAATCAAACTATTCATTCCCCTTCCCTTTACTGTATTTTTTAGCTAAAAAGAAAAAAAACTAGTATTTTTGAGCTAAAAAGTAAAAATCTCATAACGCGAGCCAACCTGTGGCCTCATGGTTAAATGAGCTGGATTCCACATAGCTGACTAGTTCAAGTCCTAGCCCCAAAGGCTCATAAACCACACCAGGCCTATGTGCATGCATGCTCAAAATCCCTAACAGAGAAATGGAGATGGGACTGTGCCATGGTTACCCCCACAACCAGGGTGGGGTGCTCTCTCACCTTCTCTACTAGGCAAGTGTACACATTTTTCTACAATTTTTTTTTCTTTTGTAAAAACACTCATGATGACAGGACCCACAAACTGTTCTGAAATGATCGAAATTTTTAATGATCAACACAGTGGAACTAAAGTAGCTGATGACTATACTTTCTTAATAAACAAGAGAAAAATAGTATATATGTGTGTCTAAATATATACACACACATCCATACCAAGGTCGCTATAGAATATGTGAGCTTGCCAGAGAAAGAGAGAAAGCACCCCTCCTGCCATGGGAGATGACTGCACTACAATCCCTTCTCCATTTCTCCTTTAGAAATTTTGGGCATGCAGTCTCTACTTGCTGTGGTGGTGCGAGACCGGTGTACAAGCTGCGTCTGCGGGAGTCATGGCACCACAGGCATTTAGGAAGTTTCTTCTACTCTTTGACCAAGTACTGGTTAAAAGGAGTGCTGCCAAAACAGTAACCAAAGGAGGCGTTACGCTAATAGGAAAGTCTCAAGGAAAAGTACTGCAGGAACAGTAGTAGCTGTTGAACCTGGCTCTAACAGAAAAGGGTGGACAGATACAACCAGTTAGCATGAAAGTTGGAGATAAAGTTCTTCTTCCGGAATACGAAGGCACCAAAGTAGTTCTAGATGACAAGACTTATTTCATATTTAGAGGTGGTGATATTCTTGCAAAGTATGTAGACTGAAATAAGTTACTACTGAAATGACATCATACAAAGCTGCTCATTCCACTGAAGTTGTGAAATCTTTCATCATGTAAATAATTTCCATGTTTCTCTTTCATAATAAACTAATGATATCTAATGACAAAAAAACTTGGGGGCAGGCAAGCATGTGTCCCACATGATTTTCAAACCTGACGGGGAACCGTGCAGTTAGACACATGGGATCCAGCTACCTTAACCTCCACGTCATCCGAGGACCCAGAAAAATAGTACTGTGAATGCAATATACAAAGCAAAATGTTATCATACTCCTCCCTCTTATCAAGAATGGAATAATTTTGATTATAAGTTTGAGAGGGTTTAAGGAAAAACAGAGCTTGATGACGAGACAAGGTTAATTGTTGCCTACAACGACTTGAACAGTCAAAGCCTTTGTTACATAATGATTAAAAGCCAGAGAAAGTACTGTATTAGATTATTTGATATTTAAAAGATTATGTAAGGCAGCTACACAAAACAGTTTCATCTGTTGATTATAAAATTATTTTATAGAAATCACACTGGCATTTTGCATAGGGCTTACCCTAGAGAAACAGTTTTAACTGTAATTTCATTTTTATTTTAACACAAATTAAAAGACTGATTTATTTCAAAGGGTAACATACAGAAATGGCTATAAAGCTTTTTTTTTTTTAAAGAGATCTCTTGCACAGAGAAAAAGAGAGAGAGAGAAAGCGAGAAACCCCTTCCCAGGGGGATAGCCACGCCACAATCCCTTTTCCTACATTCTCCTCTCTAAAGTTTGGGGATGCACACACATCCAGTGTGTTTCAAACCACCAGGTCCAGGACTCAAACAGCAGTTGACTACGTGGGAGTCCACATAGACATAACCATCACATCATCTGCTGGTCCCAAGCATGCCGTTTATATCTCATCTTAAAATGAATCTTTGGAAAAAGTTTACTACATTCAATACTTACTACCCAAAGACCTGGGTTAAAATGTATACTACAAACATGGAGTCAACAGGTGGCGTGGTGGTTGAGGTGCTGGATTCCCACATGGCCAACAACAGTTTGAGTCTCAGACCTGGCAGCTTGCTTTTTCACTTCCTCCCTTTCTGTCTCTCTCAGGTCAAATTAAAAAGAAAAAAAATAATGTAAAAAATCAAATAACTATTTAAAAATAAGTAAATAAAAAATAAAAACTACTATGAACAGAACTGGACTAAATCCAAAATGGTTATCATTTTTAAATGGCAGTACTTTCATATTAACCAAGTTTTAAAAGAATATATACATATACACAGCTTTACATATATGTATATATTTAACAACAACAAAAAAAAACAATAGGGAAAAAAAGATTGTGAAAATCCAAATCAGGAAAAAATTAAAATGTTACATAGATTTTCCTTAATGAAATCCTTATTTGGATAACCGTTGCCAAGCAACAGTAATTCACTTTGCTAAGTAGTTAATATTGCTTTTACTTCTAAAAGGCTCAAAAACATAGTTCGTAACAACAGTCATTCTTCCTATTGCAGAAACATTACAATACATAAAATGTGCTTATTGGCTTCAAATATTCCCCCCTAACAGGGCAGAAATTAAAGCACATAAACCAATAATTGAGACCAGTAGATGGTGTAATGGTTACATCACTGAGCTCCTATATAGTCAACCCCTGGTTCAAATCCCAGATGGCAGCTTAACTCACAAAGGATGCATGCGTGTGTGTGTCCATGTGATTCCGAAAGGAGAATGGAGGAGACGGGATTGCAGCATGATCACTGCTCACCCTCCCTGTATGTTTGTGTGTGTGTGAGAGAGAGAGACAGAGTGATTTCTCCCTTTCTGTCTTTCCAACAAGCGCACCCCTATGCAAAAACTTCTCTTATAAGAAAAAAAAATCATTCACTTTAAATATGAGTTTTGATTTGTTGTCACTTTTCAAAAAAAATTTTTTTGGAGAGGTTTTTGCTATAGGGCGCGTGCGCTTGCCAGACAGACAGAGAGAGACAGAGAGACAGAAAGCCAGAAATCACCCACCACCCCCCCCCCCCCCGGGACGGGAGGGCCCCTC